GCATGTGTATAATATATGTGTATATATATATATATGTGTGTGTGTGTGTATGTGTGTATGTATGTATGTATGTATGTATGCATGTATGCATGTATGCATGTATGCATGTACGCATGTATGCATGTATGCATGTCTGCATGTATGTATGCACGTATGCATGCATGCATGCACGCATGCACGCACGCATGCACGTATGTATGTATGTATGTATGTATGTATGTATGTATGTATGTATGTTTGTTTGTTTGTGTGTGCATGACATGTGCATGTATATGTGTATGTACATATGTATGTACATGTCTATGTGTATGTACACGTATATGTACATGTGTATTCAAATGTATACGTTTGTATATATATATATATCTATCTGTATATTTATGAAAGTGTAGGTGTATGCATACGTATGTATGTATGTATGTATGTAGGTAGATAGGTAGGTAGGTAGGTAGGTAGGTAGGTAGGTAGGTAGACGTTTTTGCTTATTTATCTTGTAAACATGTTTTCGCTCGTTTGTTTATTAATTGAGTCGCACTTTGTCGTTCTTTAGGATTTCTGTGGTTTGACCTGCATTCCAGCTTGCACCCTGCCGAGGAAGCCGTTCGGTACTTGAGAGCTTCTAAGCTGGTTTTCCAGGACACATAAGCATCAAGCCTTGAAGCGTAGGCGGCACCTCTCTTCCTGCTGCGCCCGTCCTCGGTGTCTCACCAGACTCGCCTCGGCTGCCCGGCTGCGGCTGTTACGGTGGAAAGGAAAATGTTCGAAGCTCTGGATTCTACGGCCTAGGGCTGCAACGTCCTAGAAGACTGATGGCCCCTTGCTCACTTAATCTTGGTGGAGTCTTGGTGTTGTGGTTTGCACGCGAAGCACCCAGCAACCCACCTGCCATCAAGGATGTGCGAGAACAACGGTCTTTGCAAGGAGCGGCTTGTTGCTTTAAAGGGCCACCCTTGTACACCCAGACGCGGGTCCATCAGATTTCCCAGAAAGGGGTGGTCAACTAGACAGTCAATGAGTAGAATGCGCACTCCGACTTGCAGGAGAACGGCTTGAAGGGCCTTTGCTGCCCAAACCCTGCAGGCCAAAATCTAGGCGAGCGGCATCGACTGGGGTCTTGGGGTTGGAGGCTTGGTGTTTCAGGATCTGCTGGTAAGGCTTTTGGGCAATTGCCCGCCTCATGTTGTTTGCTTGTCGTTTGGGGTATTGAGCTGGGCTGTACTCTCGGCAGACCGGTGAGGGCCGTGTGTTCAATGATGTTTATAGAGTGCATGGAGCAGTTGCGTGAACATGCGACGGATCCTGAAGCGTCTTATCTGCAGCTGACGGAGGATTGCGGTTCAGCCTCGCAAGTGCTATGCGATGCGGCGAGGTCTTCCAGGCTCCCAAGCAAAGTCGACTAAACACCCGGGAGATTCGACGGAGTCTAAAACAAACCCAAACCAAGTCCGAAAGGCAAGAGGGGAGCCTACCTCTTCGAAGCACATGCGTGCCTCTGCTGTGAGGCTGCTGCGACTCAGAAGTTGCCGCTTGTCCTTCGCAAAGGTTTAGGCTGGTAGCTGCTTGCGATCTTAAGACTTGGAGGTGGGGGCGTGGAATGTCAGTGACCTCGATGGAACTAAATCTCGGAAATGTCTTGGGTTCTTCACTGCCACGGGCTTGCATGTGCTTCTGCTTGATCATCTCTCAGAACATGAAGTTCTTTTTAGGGTATGCGTGTATTCAAAACAAGTGCTGCTATACAGCAAGTCGACTTTTGGCGTACTACCACACCCCAAGATCTGACATCCCACTCCCACGCCATACATTAATGATCCCATGACGAACCAACTTGGCTTCCATAGGCTCCTTGCAATAATGGTCCGGGGATGGTGGATCACAACACAATCGCTTGGAGTTCGGTGTTGTATTTTCGTGTGCTTTGCACAGGCTTGACGTATGCTTTTGTACGTCCGTTTGATGATCTCCTGCCAATCCCAAATTTCCAGGCTCTGTTGACATGTTGATGTCTCAACCTCAACCGGAGACGTGCAAGGTCCAAAGCCCAAGCCCCAGGCCCCAGCCAGTAGACCCTTCCCAGGAGAAGCAGGACATGCTGGGCGCAGGTCCTGCGCCGGAGCTGCTGCCGCCTGCAACAACACCAGGTGCAAGTTTACGATTTGGGTTCGGGGAGCTTCTTCCTGGGCTTCGCGGTTCTGTTCGGGGCGTTTGAAGGGTGTATCCTTTTTGGGAACAGGAGGCAATCAATGGACACATTGGGTTTGCAGGATGCTGAATGTAGGGAAGAACGCCGTGAAGCAAGAGCACGAGAGGTCAGAATGCTGGACAGCAAATTGCACTCACGCACATAGGCGGATTGTGCACATAATCCTCAGGTTTTTGTACAGATCCTTTTCGGTAGTTGCCATCTGTATTGGCTCCGTTCAGAGAACGAGCACTGCGTCTGACGGATCCCCTGAGCACGCGAGAGAGAGAGCGAGGGGTGATGCATTGTGCTGCTTGTTGCTCGTGTCTCTTCTCACTGTGGGTCCATACAAGACAGGACAATGGAATGATGCTGGAGCGGTTTGAAGGAAGGTGAGGTTTCTGGCTTGACTACAGCTTGCTGCCAGTACCCTCACGGTTAGTTCTGATGGATAGATTGTGCTGGCTGTTATGATGTCGATCATTGGCACTTCTGCTGCAGCAGTTGGTGTCTGGCGCTGTTACTCCGATTCTCTTTTCGCATACGCATAAGAATTTGGTCGCGGTTCCAGGCAAGCTGATGACCTTCTACCTCTACCGTGTGGACAACGACCAGAGGTGTGCAGCGTCACTGGTTGGGAGTCTCCGGGGCTAAGTCACTAATTACCATTTTTGTGCGATGCAAGTCAAAGTTGCAGTAAGCTGCTGTTGCTAAGTGTTGTGGTTGGATGAGGTTCGGTTCACTGTCCATCGTTTGCACTGAGTTCTCTCAGAGTTCTCTCAGACCGTCAAACACTTCCCCTATGAGCATGCCGTGGTCGTATCGCCAATACCGCCACAGACCTTCACGGCAGAGGTACACTCACATCGTAGCTACCTCAAGGTCCTCCTCCTCTGTGTGTGTGTGTATACATATACATATACATACATGCATGCATGATGCGCACATGCATATGTGTACAAATATACAGTAATTATATGTAGACAGACATAGAGTTAGCAAGATACAGAGATATAGCTAGACAGACGGCTAGACCGATAGATACAGAGATAGAGGGATGGATGTATAGATAGATAGATAGATAGATAGATAGATAGATAGGTGGACAGATAGACCAGATAGATAGATGCATAGACAGATAGATAGACACACAGATAGATAGATAGCTCGCCACCGTGAAAGTAAGCTAGATTGAAAATAGATAAAAGGCATGTCAATATATTCGCGTCGACTCTGGTGGAGTTCTTGGGTCCTTGAGTCAGCTTCTAAACGCTGCAGGGGGGCCCTTCGAATCCACAGTATTCGGAGCGACACATATGATTGCATCGCACAGACTGTGCAAGATCCCTCCTCATCCAGCGGATGTAGAGGTACAAGTTGAACGGTGTCAACATGGCCAACCTTCTGGGCGACATTTGGCAACTTGGGCGAAGTCTTTCACCTTGCAAACTGACAGGTCGTTTTCCCCCGTTCCTGAAACTTCACTTGCACACTGCGTTGCTTGGCGGTCATGATTCACGCCAGGGCAGTACTGCACATTGACATGCTTCTGGGAGAGCCTGCACATTGCGGTTTGTTCGGAGGGCGAACCGTGGCTCTGGTTTGAGCTGGGCCAGGTATCTTCACAACGAAGTGGTGTTCAATTGCCCCAGGACTGATATTGATATGTAATTCATGAGCCTTGAGGCCAACGTGTAGGTTTGAACGCACTCCCGCAGCCTCCGCCGACGTGATGAGATATGGCCTCTGAATTGGCCTTTCGTCTTCAGCTGTTAAAGAAGTGCTGGATGCTGCTTTCAGTTCTGGCACCTTCCCGGCACTTTGGAGTTTTGGGAGACTGTCCTGCTCTCTTCCACTCATTGTGTCTGATAATGCGGGCACTGCCTGCAGGAAGTTCAACATCTCCCGGTTGACGCGCTTCAAGGTCACCTACCGTGCCACCAAGGATTGGGCTTGGGAGTTTTAAGCAACGGCAACCTCGAACACTGCAGCACAGGACGAGTGCTGAAGTTCCAGATTCTCCAACCTAGATCGCCATACCCTGTCAGCTCACCAACAGCTTCAAGTAGTTAACTACATGCAGATTTGTAATTAGAAGTAACGCAGATGGGGTACATATTGATGCTTTCTCGTAGCTGCTCTTGCCAAATATTCATGCGCCGCTACCATCGAGTACTCACGAGAGTCGTACTGATGTTGTGGATGACTGTCTGCTCAGGCCGGGAGAGTTATGGTTACCCCGCGAGTACCGTTCAGTAGCTTTAGGTATGGAAATAGCAACAGCAGCAGTAGCGGTGGCGGTGGCAGCGGTAGTGGAAGTGGCTCGTGGTGGTAGTGGTAGTGACACTAGTCGTCGTGGTCGCTGTGGCCTCGTGCCGCCGTCGTAGTAGCTAGTAGTAGTAGTAGTAGTAGTAGTAGTAGTAGTAGTACTAGTAGTACTAGTAGTAGTAGTAGTAGTAGTAGTAGTAGGAGGAGGAGGAGGAGGAGGAGCAGCAGCAGCAGCAGCAGCAGCGGTAGCGGAGCAGGAGCAGGAGCAGGAGCAGGAGCAGGAGCAGGAGCAGGAGCAGCAGCAGCAGCAGCAGCAGTAGTCGTGGTGGTGGTGGTGGTAGTGGTGGTGGTGGTGGTGGAAGAAGTGGTGGTGCTGGTAGCAGCAGCAGCAGCAGCAGCAGCAGGAGCAGGAGGAGGAGGAGGAGCAGGAGGAGGAGGAGGAGGAGTAGTAGTAGTGGTAGTAGTCGTCGTAGCAGTCGTAATAGTAGTAGTAGTAGTAGTACTACTACTACTACTACTACTACCAGCAGCAGAAGCAGTAGATGCAAAAAGGTTTCTGGAACATCTTCGAGAAGCTGTCCGGACCGACCAAGCGACAGGAATGGTAGTGTAGCAGTAGTCTGCGAAGAGGAAGAGCACCCTTGGCCCGAAAGGGCGGTACGGTATTTCTGTTTCTAGGGCATGGAGTAGAGTGTAGAGTTGCGACCTGTTGTGACTCGTGGTCCGTTCTTGCAAACATGTGTTGAGTTCAGCTGTCAATAATGGGCGACCTTACGTCTGGCATCGCAGTCATGGTCGGAGTTGTGCGAGTTGAAGCAACAATCAGTGGTTACAGCAGTGGTAAGAACATTAAAATAAAGCAGGAGAGGACGACAGCTAGGAAATTTGAACCAGGAACTCTGGGGTCAGAACAAGAACTTTGACAGCTTTGTGGCTTTCGACAAGGCCAAGTGCACAGTGTCGGGACCCCGAGTGATTCTTGCTTGCCAGGGAACCTGCCGAAAGCGGTGCTTCAGAACTTCGTTTGCTTGGATCTCTGCGCGCTTGAATAAATGGCCTGCTGAGTGATGCGTCCAAAGGCCTGGATGCTCCATGCTCCACTGGCTGCCGCTCGGTTACGTCATCGGTTGCACGCGGCTTGGCAAGCACTGAAAGACGGTTGACCAGGGCGTGCATCTGGTCAGCCCCCGCAGCAACGCAATGCTAGCAATGCGAGAGTTGGGGGAGAGCCCATGCCGGCATCTGTGCCACATTTCTGGTTGTCGCTTTTCGGGAGTGTAACAGCGCTTCCAACCCAGGAAGAATGATGTCGGCAGAGTGGCATTGCCGGGTGAAGCTGCTTGGTTCTCGCTGCCCGGGACCGCATGGGCTGCAGTTTTCCTAACTGCGGCTAGTATAGTCAAAGCGTAACTACTTTCCCTGCAGCTGTTTGTTCTCACCGCCCGATCGCGGACCTGGTAGGTTGTTGGTCCTGACCTCAGCAGGTACCCACAAGGCCCAAGAAGCCAGTAGAGGGACGCATATCGTCCCTGGAGGACCTGCCCCAGCAAGTTCTACTTCCAGAAGTCGAACGAGTGCGAGAAGAGGGAGCCGGGCGGCCAGTGCAAGGGTGGTCAGGCCAGGCAAATGCTTTCTATGCTTCGGACCCCGCATGCTAACCTTCTCTTCTAATTACTTGCCCCCACAGCATGGGTACTTGGAAAATCCTGGTGGGGTGACATGAAGGTTGCAAGCAAGCGGTCTGCAAATCGAACCCCACGTGCGCAAGGGTTTTAGTGCGTGGTGGTCTCAGCATGTGTCGTTTTTTTGAGGGTGTTGTCATCACACGAAGTTACTGCTCTGTGTTTCTCGAATTGTGGATGCGTAGATTGTGGCTCTGTTCAGAGGGTGCCGCCGTCCCGCCATGTCTCCTTTAGCAAAGGTGCATCCACCAAATCAATCTTGTATTTTGCTGCGTGCTGATGTTCTCACATCAAAGGCGTTCGTCCGCTTCTGACTCTTGTTTCATGGTGTCTAGGTCTAGGTTGGTTGACAGATATAGTTACGCCGACACAGGAACCAGCAGGGAAGCAGCCCCTAATTACCTGCGAAAGCAATGTGTTGCTTCTGTTTCTGTGCTTGCAATCTGACGTGTCGTGCAAGATGCACTGGAACTCCTGTAAAAACTACCGAATCAGTGCCTTCAGTCAGCTGCTGACGCAGGTAACAGGTGAGCGCGACTGCGACTCGGAGAGACATGAAGAACTCTGTCCTGCCTGAAAAGACGTGTGCCGTTGCTACGCAGGGAGGGTGTTGGTGATGTTAATGTACGGGCCTTAATAATTAGAATAGGGTTTTGGGGGTTCCTTACTTGTTTTTACAGTATATTCTAACCCCCAACCCTATTCCAATGACTAAGGCCCCTATATTAAGGGTATATAATACTAGAATGATAATAAGGAGCCCCCCAAAACCCCATTCGAATTATGAAGGCCCTTTCTTCATTGCAGCTGCCAAGGCACCTATCAGATTGAGGAGGCCGGCGAGATTCCTTTGGATGAGCTCTCAGGCCGGATCCTCTGGTGACTTATTGTAGTATATTAATTACAGTTTATTGTAGTATATTATAGTATAGTATAGTATATTTATGGTATATTATAGTATCAGTCCGCTGAGAAGCAATGTAAGGTAGGGTTTAGGGTTTAGGACCTTGGGACATAGGGATCCCGTCGGCAGGGCATGAGGTTTGGAGTTCCGGGTTCGGAGTTCAGTTCGCGGCTCGAAAACTTGTGTCCCGGGTCGGGACGTTTGAGGAGTGTGTGAGTGTGTGTCATGCAGTTGCACATAGAGTTTGTTCTCCCAGATTCCCACAGCCCTGAATATGCAACGCCTCATGCCCCTTGCAGCCAGACTTGGTTCGGGCGGTCACAGGCCCAACCTCCGCTCTCAGCCAGAGTCCTAAACAGGCTTGAACCAGCTATCGCTCAAGCGTGCGGTTGCTACAGGTATCAAGAACTACAACGACGTTTGTGAGAGCACTGGGGTGCGGGAGCCGCTTGGCCGGGGCTGGTGACAAGTGTGCACCGAAACGGCGAAACTACTTGTTCAAGTCTTTGGCTTACTGATCTTGCCACCGACATCGCAAGCCTCCATGGCCTTCTGCTTGCCGTTCAGATGCAGACTGGGCTCGATTCTGTTCTTTGGACGGTTGACCTAGCCCAGTAATTCTACTACCAGTAGCTGGTCGCTGGCCCCTCCGGCCATCATCCTTTGACTTGCGGGTTCATACGATGAGGTACGATGAGACGACCGACAAGGGCACGGGAACCAGCTTCTGGAACGGCCTCTTGCCAAGAGTTAGACCGTTAGACTAAGTTAGACCGACTATCGGTACTTTTGTTCCTCGTCTTGCTCTGGCAGTACTTGTCTGCACGCATTTCCTGTGCTTGTGCTATTGCAGTTGATCGAATGTGTCATCGACGTGTAGACTTTAGATCCTCGTTGCCACTGCTTTCGTATTATTATTATATTATTATTATTATGATGATTATTATGATTATTATAATTATTATTGCGGTATGTTGTGCTTTCCTTCCTTCGGTCTTGAATTCGACGTTTTCTAAACCACAACACACCTGCTATTGAAGACGCTGGAAGCAATGGAAGCAAGAACTTAGTCGTGCACCAATAGTAGTCAAAGCATTGACAGCAAACGCCACTGTTTCCGTCATGATCGCTCATTGTCAGTACGCCCTGCTACTGCTACTGCGCTGCTGCTGCTGCTGCTGCTGCTGCTGCTGCTGCTGCTGCTCCTACTACTGCTGCTACTACTACTACTACTACTACTACTACTGTGTGAGTGAGCTGCTGCTGCTACTGCTGCTGCTGCTGCTGCTGCTGCTGCTCCTGCTACTACTACTACTACTACTACTACGACTACTACTGTGTGAGTGAGCTGCTGCTGCTACTTGCTGCTGCTGCTGCTGCTACTACTACTACTACTACTACTAGTACTACTAGTACTACTACTATAACTTGCGCGTATCGACAGCTGGTAGTGCCAATCGAATAAATCAACGAGCAGGGTAGCAACCAGTTGGTTCTGGCAAGAACCGGTGATAGTCCAGCGGCATTGACAGTGATAATGGTACCAACTACAGCAGCTATCCCCGTTGGCGCCCCCGAGCCCACACAAGAGCTTGGATGGAAGCCGAGGAAAAGCGGACCCGAAGAAGGGTGCGGAGCGCGTGAAGTTCATCTCGGACCTTTTTGCAAAGCGCTTTCCGCATTTTCCGGCGCACTTGGATGATCCTCCTTGCGATGCATGAGTGCCGTCAGCATCTTGCTGTCAGTGAGCGAAGACTCTGACTTGACAGTCGTCTACGGCTTTGGATCCGGAGTAGCCGGCAAGAGCTTGCAAGAGGACTGATCACAACGTTTTCGCAAACTTTCGACGTGTTCGATGTACGAGTGCGATCTGATGCCGTAAGGTGTGTCCTTTCGATTGAAACTCTACATCAGGGCTTCAACGAGCTAAAGCTGATGCAAGCTCCATGTGCAAAGTTCTGCTAGGTTGATGACAACATATCTGCCCGAACTGAGTCCCCACTCCCCATGGAGTTCAGAAATTGAGTTGGTTTTCGCCGATGCGCGCAAAATCGTGCTTGCTGCAAGCTGGAAAGCTGAGGGACCACAGCCGCATATTTTCACTCAACCCAGGACTTGGGCTCCCTCGTCTCAACCTTAATTAACGGCCCGAGTTGTTCTTCCTGCCACAGCCAGGTCAGAGACGTGGGTGAATCCATGGCCACAAGCCCTGGACATGCTAGGCCCTGGGGTGTCAGGGCTTCCCATGGAAGTGTGACTCGTGAGAAAGGTTTTCAGTCACTGACCACGACGATGCAATCACAAGCGATCTAATAGAAGCGGAAAGGTCAAGTAGAAGCGACAGTTGTCGTGTTGTCGCCGCTGTTCTCGAACAGCCAGGCTTGTAGCCTTGGTTCAGTGGCTGCCGTCGTGCTGGGTGCACAACGGAGCAGATCTCCTGCACACTTTGACGGCATCTTCAGCCAACACTCCACATCATTGTTTGGCCAAGCCCAGCCCTTTTGGTTTGCCGGTCAGCCATAAGGAGATGCAGCAACACCGTTGCGACTGCAGTTGTGTTCCAAAAGACTGGTGGAACCAGTCCTGATCGTGTACGTGACGATTCGCGAAGTGTCGTATCTTGCTCATTTGACTGTGCTTGCTGTTGTACTCCTCTATTGAACAGCTCGGTTCGCCAGTTTTCCTAATACAGCTTCCCTCATCGATCATTCTGAATACTAGCAGCACCTCCTTCGTAATCGGGCCTGCGCTGATTCGCCCTCGCTTCAGGGTGCCGGGCATAGTCTTAGCCTAGGAAGGCTCTTGGATACCTGCTGCAAGTGACGTGCAAAAGGGTGCAGCTAACGACAGAATCTGGCGCCTGACTCCATCGCACTTGACCCGGCTCCACGTAGCGGTGGCTTTGAGCTGAAGATGCCAGGAAGTGCGCGCTGCGTGCGCCTGGCCTGCGGTGCTAAGCACACGCTCTTCCTCACAGCAACCGGGCAACTGCCAGAGACTTATCCGAAGCTGAAGTCGGAAGCTCCTCTTAAGTCTAAAATTTGGACTCTAGTCAATGGCTCTTCGTCCTGTTATCGAGTCTTCGCTTGATGACTGCAGTATGATAGGCTTTCTGGCCCTCTGACGGGCTCTTGATCCGCTGGTTCAATTTCTCATTGCTCGCAGAATGAGTTGTTCGCCCCTCGATTTTGAGCCTTGCACCGATGGCCCAGATACGGCTGCGGACAGAACGCGTCTTCCCGGCAACGTTGAGCTGTTTCCCATCAGGCTTTCGCAGCCTCTGCAGGAACAGGGAACTGCCAACCGCCGGCTGTAGGCGATCGAATGCAAAGCCTTCCCAAGAGCTGCAAGGCAGCGACAGCTGAGCAGCGCTGTGTCTGGCTGCGTAACCACCACAGAGCTTCCCTTCAGCCTGGGCTCCCAGGATGTATGTGTTGAGAGTCCCCACAAAATGAGTGTGTTTTCGGCATGCAAGACCCACTCTGTTTGGGAGTTTGCTCCCAACAGCCGTTTCTCGGCAGCCTTCGAAGTAGCATGGCCCGAAACCGCAGCCTGAGGCCACGAAAACGGACTGCCGGTCGATATCTTCTGCCACCCCAGCCTGAACGTTTCAGTGGTGCTGACCAAGGAGAACAGGTCCGGACCGGGGTTCCCTCATTGGTCGAGGGCCCCTCGCTTTTCTCTTCCGGCGTCCGCTTGGATACCGTCGTTTAGCATCTTAGCTCCGTGATTTCATGTTCAGTTGGGGCTTGCGGGGCTTTTTGTGCTGCACGGGTCAATGTGCTTAACTTGGCCTCGCTGCCCTGTCAGGTTCTTCATCTGCGGCGAAGCCGGCAGTCTCTTTCACACAGCCGGCCTCATTGAGCACTTCCTGCCATACGACAGGCTTGGCACGGGTTGCAGGTTGCGTGCTGCCGCCGACTGTGCAATGTATCTGGCTGCGCTAGTAGACACAGCAGAGACACGCACGCGAACTGTTGCAAAGCGAATGTCCATGGTGCTGCGTGAGGGATGCGATTATGATCGAGAACCGCATTGTGTGCATGAAGCACAGCACTGGCCAGGCCGATGGGGATGTTGCAGGTAAGTGCCACCATTGAACGAGACATGTTGTTCAACGGCTTGCAGACTCGCTGTGCTTTTTGAAGGTGTACATACCGGGGTTCAACGATCCCAAGGCACGTTGCAAGCGTGACAGTAGCCCCTGGATTGTGGTAGACTTCTGACTTCTGGAGGGCAAGGAAGCACGGAGCCTTGCTAGCTACATCTAGGTACCATAAAGCTCATGTAGGAGACTTGGTCGATCCGCGGAGAGAGGTGGGTGAGGTACCACGTTGCTGTGCCGGACGCATGCCGCATCAAGAGCCATCCCACCGTCCGAGACAAGACACCTGCGTATTATGTTTTTGTGCTGCATGTGTGTGCATGGAGGCCTGCTGTTTTTGTTTGCGGCTTCGTGATGCCACTAGCATATCCACACCAAGAGTTTCTCCTGCTGAAGACTTTCAAGTTATTTCGAGCTTCGCTTGCCCTTTGCCCATGTTCCCAGCTTGAAATGTTCCAGCCTGGCACGAACATATCTCATTTCGCTTTGATCGGAATGGTTGTTGCACTCGGACGTGCGGTTGAATTTCCGCGTCGGCACACAGAGGTCGGCACAGTTGAGCTGGTTGCAGCGCAGGAGGCCGCCCTGCTAGCCTCGGACTGACTATCTTCAGACCCATAGCTTCACAAGGGGTCTTCAAGGGGCTGTGGTTCCGAGGTCTCAGGGAGCGCCTTAGCCAAGCGACATGGGAACACTGGCAACAACCGCACCAGCAGCAACCAACAAAGGCAGCAAAGAGCACTCCCAGAAATAGCGGAGATTTCCAGACCACACGTCTAAGACTAGTGACATCTAGCGCAGGGGAGTCCGGGGGCAGAGTTCCAAGAAGCATGTTGTCAGATATCGCTGGGAAGATTTTTCCCTCCTTGAACCCACACTTGACAGGCAGAGGAGCCCGAGCCCGATGGAGCAAGAGCCCCGGCTTCCCAGCCTAGAGTTGCTGCGCTCTCCGGGGTGGATGTGCCGTCTGGCGATGAAGGTTCTCGGGCCTGTGATTTTCGAGGGCCAGGACGGTGAGGAGGCTCAAAACCTAAAGCCTAGAATCCTAGAATGTTGGCTTGCAGAGCTTCCCGCACAGACGAAGGATGCAAACAAAGATACAAGTAGCTTCATGTGCCCTGAACGGTTCTTTCCATGCAGAGCTGTAAAGCAAGGACTCGGTGTTTCATCATGTGTTGCAGCAGTCGCTTTCCGAGACCGGAAGTGGCCAAGAAGACTTTGCAACTACTACTCTCTGCATGGAAGCAGCAGCACAGAAGGTTGCAGAGGACCTTCACTCTTAGTTCACCGACCATAAGACCAGTTTTCTCTGACGCGGCAATGCCTGCCACGCTGTACCGTACCACTATATAAAGCAACTCCAAAGAAAGCTGCGATTGTCCCATTCAGTCAACCAAGGCTTATGCTTGCCGGCTGGTGGAGCGGCACTTGGCTGTAGACAGCCTGCGGCGCTTGACTCATCAAGCACTGGAGGCGGCCTCCCGCAAGAGTTACGGCGCAGTAGCAAACTTTTTTCAATCCTGGAACTGAAAGTGATAGCAGCAACAACAACAACAGCTTGATAGATAAGACGCCGATATAGGCGAAAATGGCAACACCGGTAGACCGTCCAAAACACCTTGTGTAGCGGGAAGTAGTGTGCTTCTGGAACACCGTGGCAAGTCCTTATTGCAGTGTGGTTAGGGTGGTCTGCAATCTGCCCACCAGGTTGGCTAACATATGGTCCACACGGCAACTGCCAAGAGCTGCCGCACTCCCCGCCGACTCTCACCCATTGCCGTGTCGTCTTCTATCCACCTATAATATCATCCCCTTTTCCAGGAATCGAGTACTGCAAGCCTTCAGATCTTGGCCCGAGGAGTTCGTAGAGCCACAGCTTTGACTCGCAAGTTCCCGAAGCCTCGTCTCGATCCGGCCTCAACCCCAGCTCCTGATAGTTCAGGGGGGCGCTTTGACACCACAAGATGTGATCAAGGAGTACGCTGGCCGGGGTCCCAGAACTCGCTCAAAACGATTCGCCAAAGGCTCACGCCTGCCGTGTAGCCCGGAGTCAGCGCAGATCGAAGAAGTTTGAATACTTCTGATTGAGTTTAAGCTTAGGCTTTGTAATTTCTCCTGCTTTACAGGCCATCTTGTCCGCTCGCCCAGTCATGTGCGCAATCTCCTTGCTTCGTGTCAGACCTGTGCTCAGGTGCCTCTGTGGGGCCCAGCCCCGGGGTGGCAGACACCGCCAAGGCTTGTCACAACTCTGGTTTCAGGGCTTGCAAGGGGGGTAAAGGGAACGAAAGACAAGAGGGGTTGAGGGCTTTGGAGTTTGCATTCCGGACGTGCCGGCTTCATTCTCAGAGTTCTATGCTGGCAGGTGAGATTCGACCGCGCTGGTTTTGTGTTGGGTCTTTACATGCAGGTTGCCTTCATTGTTTTCAGTGAAGCGACTGAACCAACGCTGTCTGTTTCGGTGGCTCAGACCAGAATTCCAAGACACAAAAAGTGCCTTCAGCAGATCACCATCTGGAGCATGCTGCAGTAGCATCATGAATGGAGCTTTTTTGGGTTCGTTTACGAAGCTCCTCTGAAGATGTCTCTTGATGTGGAGCTCGAGAGACTGCGTCTTGAGGTTCCGCATGTTCAACCTTATGCAAAAGTTAGAAGTTGAGATTGCATGAAACCATACTCACTTCCCCAAAGTTTCGACCTTTCTGCCCGCTTCCCTTGCGATGGCGGCGCGGCCAGTCGGACCTCCCGAGTCCTACCAATGGGAACCTCGATTGTTTGGGGTTTGGACGGTCCTTAGGGTTCCGTAAGCTAGAGGAAGAAGCCCTGTAGTAGCAAGGCCCAGCAAGCTACCGCGAACATCTGTAGTACGTCTCGACATTTCACATGTGCTGCGTCCGTTAAAGTGGATCTGTGCAAGTGTAGATCTTGGCATTGGTATCTTGAAATTTAATGCATTTTGTGCTGACAGTGTTGCTGCTTTCCGAATCGTTCTACTGGATATACACACCTGCTTAATTAGTTTTAAACATGTACACACATGCAACTACAGACAGAGATATGGTGACGCACTGACGGGACACTCGTGCACATGCACACCATCACACAAGTATATGTATATACTATCTGTCTCGTCGAGCGCGAGTGCCAAAAATAAATATACTGCCTGTCTATTTGTCTGTCTGTCTGTCTGTCTGTCTGTCTGTCTGTCTGTCTACATGGATGCATGCATGCATGTATGTACGTACGTACGCACGTATGTATGTGTGTGTGTGTGCATGTGTCGATAGGTGGATAGCACAGCCAGCCAGCAGCCAGCCAGGTAGCCAGGTAGGCAGGCAGGCAGGCAGGCAGGCAGGCAGGCCGGCAGGCAGAGGACAGAGAGACAGCAAGCAAACAAAACAAATAAGTAGGTCAGTGATCCAATAGTAAGTTAATACAAGGCCAAACAAACAAACACAGCAATTTGGAGCGAAACAACTAGAAATACACGTGTGCATATAGAGAGACAGAGGGAGAGGCAGAGAGCGAGAGAGAGAATGAGAGAGACTTCCCACCCTGACGCAAGAAAGACAGAGAGAGAGAGCGAGAGAGAGAGAGAGCGAGCGAGCTGTTGTGCCTACCAAAATTTGTCCCAATCATGCACCTTTCCGAAACTTGCATAGTATCAAAACACTCCTAGCCGTTCTAGTTAAAAGGTGGGGGAAGGTGAGCAGATGCTCAGTTCATCCCCCTTTTGTTATCCTATGGGCCCTTATGCTTAGTCACATTGGTTCTTTTAAAACATTGGAGGATCGTAAAACTGTTTGCTGATTCTAGCATGTTATGGAGAAGGTACGATCATCATGATCTGGTTATCGTATTCTTTATGGCCTTAGCCTTTTGATGATCTACCTTTGTTATTCACTCCCCTCGTCCCGATAAAACATCGGGTGGGCATGATGCCCGGGGGCTTTGACAGGCCGCATGCCCGGGAGAGAGAGAGAGAGAGAGACTTACCACTCAGGGGAATGCGTAACTCCCCATCCCCTTTCAGACAGACCGCAGCGCGCCGAGTGGGGTAGGCCTTCGGGCCAAGGGGATGTCCGCAACCCCTAAACCCCCAGCAAGCAAGCAAGCAAGCAAGAGAGTAAGTCTTGCCCGTGGTAGGTGTACTGTCTTCCCCCGAAAGCCTCATAAGCCATGGGGTGCCCTATGGGCCGGGGGGCGTGACTTGCCCCTCTAACCCGAAGGAAGAAGAGAGAGAGAGAGAGAGAGAGTGTGAGCGAGACACGTACAGACAGATGCAGGAAAATAGATCGTTGCTTTCGAGAGACGAGCTGAGGAAGCTGAGATTGAGGGTGCAGCGACGAGCTTTGTCGCTTGGTTGCAGTGCCCAGTTTCTGTCGGCGATTAAGAGAACAGCAGCCGGTGATGATGATGGTGACGATGATGATGCTAGTGATGATGGTTGTGGGGGTCAGACTTGTCGTCGAAATCTGCAGTTGCTTGGTGTCAGATTGCATCCACGACCTGTGTCGCACGCCTGAGGGCTGAAGACCACCTTAAATTCCCGATTCTGACTGCTGTTGGGATTCTTGCCACGCTTTTCAAGCCTCAGGTCATTACCGACTATGGTCGGGTGGCCCAGGAGACCAGGTTGTGAGGTGGGGCTTCGGGGTTGGAGTGAGGTGCTTGGGGCTCCTTCTCGTGACCTGCGAGACCTCGAGGATTTGTGGTTAAGAGCCCTCTCTACGTGACCCGATGCCCTGTGTTGCTCTGTCAGTCTCTGTAAGTTCAAGACATGTCCAAGTCTGTGTTTTATTCTTCCTCTGTGTGCTGACAGACCCTGTCGAAAGCAACTTGTTTCTGTCACCCTGCTCGCGTGTGGACCGTGTGGAACTGACTCGTCCGCGACAGGGTCCTCCCTTCAAGCACTTCCCTCCTGAAGCCCTAAGACGAGTTCTGCCCGTGTGGCTTTTCCGGACGTATCGCGATGCAGGTGGTGGGGTTGCCAAACCCTTGACAAATTTGCAACTGCTCGTTGTGCCATGGCAACTTGCAAGAAATGAGCTCCCGCACGCTTTCAATCTACAAGCCTACACCCCCGGCTGCCCAGCAAGAAAACGTTGTCTCCGATCTTCCACGTTTCGTTTCTTGGCATGGTTGCGGAGGTCGTATCGACTGTACGGAGCTTACCTTGTTTAACTAGTACGATATGTTATTCCTCTTTTCGGTGACATCAGGGTTATGATATATATATATATATATATTGTATATTATATATTATATACTATATATTGTATATTGTATATTGTAT